CCTCTCACAGTCTGGGAGCCCTCAGTGGATGTCCTACTGATGGCCACAGTCTGGCAGCAGAGACTCGGAGCAGGTGCTGTGTGTGTGTGTGTGTGTGTGTGTGTGTGTGTTCCCTCTGGGGGCCTGCCCCTAGCCGTGTCAGAGGCTCAGAGCAGGCACTGTGTGTGTGTGTGTGTGAGTGTGTGTGTCCCCCCGCATTGGAGGCTCACAGCAGTCACCGTGTGTGTGTGTGTGTGTGTGTGTGTGTGTCTGCTCGGGGCCTGGCGCCACCCACACTGAGGAGGATTGGAGCCGGCGCCTCTCTGTGTTGATCTTTCAGGCTCCTGGCCTCGCCTGCGTGTTGTTCTCTCCCTTGAGCTGTGGCCAGGGTGGGGTGCTGCCTGCCGGCCGCGCTTGCCTGCTCGTGGATCACTGTGACGACCGGGAGCAGGCCCTGCTGGGGGCTGCCTGCTGGGTGCTGCCTGTGGGCCGCGCTTTCCTGCTCGCGGATCGCCACGGCGAACCGGGAGCAGGCCCTGCTGGGGGCTGCCTGCTGGCCAAACATGATGCCGCAGTGACCCACAAGCAGGCCCTGCTGGGGGCTGCCTGCGGCCTGCTTGCCTGCTCAAGGGCCGAGCGACCTGCTCACGGGTCACCAAGGCAATGCCTGCTGGGCTCACGTTGCCAGGGTGACGCCACCAGCGTCCTGCCCCGCCGCTATGGGCGCCGCCATCTTTGTTGAGGAGTTATGGTTAATTTGCATATTACTCTTTTATTAGATAGGATTATTAGATAGGATGTTCTTGTCTATATTCACTGTACCATGTGTTAGATCTCTAGGGCTTAATCTAAAAAAGCCAAAGTCATGAAAACAGAGCATTAAATGGTGGTTCCCTGGGGATGGGCGGGGGTGCTGCCAGGGCATGCTTGAGGGAGCTGAAGGCGGGAGGAGCCACCCGGCTCAAACCCATGTGTTCCTCACTCGCTGCAATGTCTCCGTGAGCCTTTCCTTTTCATTTCTCTCAAATAGTTTTTGAAGCCACCCAGCAGTGAAGTGCTGTGCATCCTGGGGGCTGGGGTCCAGGCCTACAGCCACTATGAGGTCTTCACTGAGCAGTTCTCCTTCAAGGAGGTAAGTCCTGGGAGTGCTGGGCACTGGGGAGCTGCCCTGGCCGGGGTCTGCTCCGTCACTGCAGCAGGGCCGTGCTGGACAGTGAGGGAGAGTCCCATCTCAACCATCCTTGAATGACTTTCCCAGAATTCCTGGGTCCGACAAAGAGGCGGGGAGGCCTGATCACCTCTTCCCAGTGTCTCAGCTCACAGGGTTTGTCTGAGGGTGCAGCCAGCCTAGCAGTTAGTTTAAAGGGCTATATTATATCTGTTGCCTAGTCCCCTCACTTCCTTTTGTGCCCCCCCCCCCCCCCCGCCACGTCTCTTAGGAGAACCTGGGAGTCTAAGTCTTCAGGGTTATGGATTCAGGAATTGGGAGAGGCCTAGAGAGCAGGAGCCTACAGCACCCCCTTCTACAGCCCAGATATGGGCCCACCTTTCGCCAGACATGCCTCACTCTTCCTACTGGGAACATTTGATTCTGCTTTTATTTTTTGCACATGTGTGAGAGTGCTGGGGCTGATTTAAAGTATGATGTTTTTAGGATAATTGGGAAATGTGGACTATAAGGACAAGGACAGCAGAAAAATGTCCTTATGTCTATTTTAAAAACAGCAACAGTTCACAGTTTCCAATCTTCCCTCACCAGTATTTTATGTTTTAATCATATTAGATATACAAAGTTATATATCCCATCTTTTCATTGAATGTTCTAACATCACTACTTTCATAGATTCCTTAATTTTTGTATAATATTTGCATAACTTTCTATCAAGAAGGGTGGTATGGTTAACCATTCTCTTATGACTGGGTGTATTGTATTGGGTTTGCATTTGCATGCACAGAACCTTGGTTGATAAACTTATGTAGACACAGGTTTATTTCTACATTATATTTCCTTATGAGAGATTGTTTAGGTATCATTTTCAGTTGAAGGCTGGCAGCCCCTCTCCAGACATGGCTATCTGCTAGGCAAGCTGTCCAGTCCCACCGCCAGGGATCTAATTGTAGCTACTACACTTGCCCTTTACATCACTGCACCATTCACTCCTCAGACCCTCTGATCTTTAACTCCCTACAGGCCCTTCAGAGATCAAGTTATTCCACACAAAGCCCTGCCACAGAGAACCCCATACCTGCTATGACTCCTTTATCATTCCCATATTACAAACATGAAAACTTAGGCTAAATGAGGTTGAGTAACTCCAGGGAAGTAAGTGAGAGAGCAGGGTTGAGTCTAAGCCTATCTAGGTCCAGAAGTTGCTCTGCTAATTATTGGGCTATGTAGTAGCTATTGCATTAATGATGTTGTATGTCCTATGTAGAATTGAAAAATGTCTCTCCTAAAATGGGGGACAACTGTAGTGCTCTCAATAAAATAAATCTATATATATAAAAGCCTAAATGACCGGACGACCGAACGACCAGTTGACCAGTCACTAAGATGCGCACTGACCACCAGGGGTCAGTGCACTCCCACAGCAGGAGTGCCGCTCAGCTGACTGACAGGCACCAGACACCAGGCTTACAGCTGGCGAGTGCAGTTGCGACAGTTTTTGAAGCCACCCAGCAGTGAAGTGCTGTGCATCCTGGGGGCTGGGGTCCAGGCCTACAGCCACTATGAGGTCTGCACTGAGCAGTTCTCCTTCAAGGAGAGCCTCTCCCACCTCCAAGGCAGCGCTATGGAGCGGTGGCGGCAGACGCAGTGGAGCCGTGATGAGCGGGAGCTGGTCGGTGCCCGGCCTGGACTCGGGCTCCTCCCCAGCCTCCTGACACTTTGCGCACTACTACATCCCTTGGGGGATGTCAGACTGCCAGTTTTGGCCCGATCCCTGCAGGCAGTCTGACATCCCCCAAGGAGGCCCTGATTGCGAGAGGGTGCAGGCCAGGCTGAGGGACCCCACTGGTGCACGATGGGACTTTAGTAAATAAATAAAAAGAAACAAAGAAAAACTCCCTTCTTTAAGAAGGAAGGGCTGGAGGAAGGTCATTTTCAAATATCTGGCCAGGTGTCTGCACAGATTAATGTTGCCTCCTTGATGAAACTTCCCTTCTTCCTGGAGTGACTTACGGTCATAAGCACAGCCTGACCCGAGGGGTTCAGCTTTCCTCGGGATGTCTGGGCTCGTTGAGACGTAAATAGCCAAACATTCATGGCACCCATGTCCCTCTTGCTGCCCCCAACGAAGGTGAGGATATGGAACCGCACTAAAGAAAATGCCGAGAAGTTTGCAGACACAGTGGAGGGAGAGGTGCAGGTCTGTTCATCCGTCCAGGAGGCTGTGACAGGTGCCGATGTGATCATCACAGTCACCATGGCAACAGAGCCCATTTTGTTTGGCGAATGGGTGAAGCCGGGGGCTCACATCAATGGTAAGTGGTGTGGTGTCTGGTAGTTGGTGGTGGACTGGCTCCTAGGCTGGACCAAGGGCCGCAGCTGCAGAACTGTGTTCTGCCACATGCCAAGCTTCACACGGGCCTCAGAGACCTGTGAGCCCTAGAAACAGTATTCACTCCAAAACATGAAACAAAAACCGCAAACCTGAAACTAGTAGAATTTCTATGTAACGTAACATTATGGCAATTGGCCAGTCACAGCTCAGTTTTTTCATGTAATGAAGTTTAAATGACAAAGCCAAATGACTCATTTATTTTTAACATTTAGAACTACAAAAAATTACAACACAAAAGACATTTAATGTGAAATGTGAATACTTTCTGGTATGTGATTGGATGGGTGCGACTCTATATAAGAGTTTCTGCCTGGCTGGTGTGGCTCAGTGTGAGTGTCAAACTATGAACCAGGAAGTCACTAGTTCGATTCTCAGTCAGGGCACATACCCAGGTTGTGGGCTTGATCCCAAATAGGGGGTATGCAGAAGGCAGCCGATCTATGATGTTTCTCTCTCATCGATGTTTCTATCTCTCTATCCCTCTCACTCTCCCTCTCTAAAAAAGAATAAATGAATAGATAAATAAAATATTAAACATGGGAATTCCTGGGGCCTCTGAACATAAAATGGCCCTGGGGTGATAGCAGGAGCTATTGCAGATGCTGTTCTAAACTCTTTATGTGTGCTACCTGTCATTTAATCCTTTCAACAGCCTCACGAAGTAGGAGCTATTTTTATTACAACCCCTTTTTACAGATGGGTAAACTAAGGCACAGAGAAATTAAGCCAGTTGCTAACTTGTTCAAAGTCAGAGGTCCTTAGCCGCAGAGCTGGGATTTGAACTGAGGCTCTTAAATGCTACTCAGTATTAGTTTTCAGTAAGAAGACTGGATTCTGGTGCATGAGCAGGCAGAGACTAGGGCATTTAAACATGCTCTCGGTGTCCCGTGTTTTAGTGACAAGCACATGCCTGAACTCAGAACCTGAGATCCCTGTACACATTGGCAGGTGAGCTGCAAGAGTGAGTGTCATGATTACACACTCATCCTCAGACACTTACTGGGTGCCTGCCCTGTGCCAGGCACTGCTGCAGAGGCTGCCGGTCACGGAGACCACACTCACGGTCCCTGCTTTCTCCTGAGGGGAGATAGCAACAAAGAAGTCAACAGATAGGTGGATTAGATGGTTCCAGCTAATGGCCAGTCTGTGAAGGAAACCAAGCATGCACGTGTGAGGAATGGGCAAAGCAAGTTGAAGGTCTGAGCCTGCAGGACTGGTGTTATGATGTGGGTCCATGGGGGAGGCAGGCCGTGGTAGGAACGTGTATCGAGCCTGGCTTTGTGGACAGTAAGACCATTCCTGAAAGGATTTGGGAAATCAAAAGAAACCACTTCTTGGTGAAATGGACATGAGCTGAATCTTCAGCAAGACGGACTTGATTTTTGTTTCCAGCTGAAAACAGCACATGTTTGTTATCTCACAGTTTCTGAGTGTGGTTCCGCTGGGTCCTCTTCCGAGGGTGGCACCAAGGTGCTGTCCAGGCTGCAGTCTTGCAGACAGCATGGCAGCCTTTGCCGGGTGCAGGCGGTGGCTGGCTCCTTCCAGTGTAGGTGCAGGTGTCCGTTTCCTGGGACCCTCTCTGCTCCTGGCAGCAAACTCCACCTCCCCTTCCACATGGACGCTCCATCTTCAAAGCCAGCGATTGCAGAGCCTCCTCACATCAGACCCTCTCACACTGTGGATCGCTCCCTGGGAAAGGCCAAGGGATTTTGAGTCAGAATGTCTTTGATGTTTTCCTGGCTGCAGGGCAGACGTGGTGCCCGAGTTCAGAGAGGCCCACTAAGGAGCGTGCGCTGCAGGTGCAGTCAGCAGGGAGCCCCGACAGCAGATTGCACTTGCTTTGCAGCAGGGCTGAGTCAGGCTCAACCTCCCCTCCCCCCCACTTCCCTCATCCTGCCCGCACTGTGGCAGAGTGCAAGGGAGAACAATCAGCCAGCTCTGAGGGAGGAAAGTTTACCTTTATTTCGCAGATCTGCTCGTCCAGAGGAATTCTGGATCCAAAGCTGGAACTGAACTCGTGGGGAGGGTCTGACCTATAGCTCCTCCTGTGGTGGCCTCTGAGGGTCCCTGCAGCCCCGCCCAAGTCAGCTGTGGCCAGGCCCTGGGGTTAGGTTCTGCAGCTCCGCCCAAGTCCGTCAGAGTGGGAAGTAAGACTACAGTTGTAACCAGATACTGAACTAGGTTGCAAGCCCCCCCCTCCCCATTTTCCTTTTCACCTGCACTTCACCAACCAGGGTCTGGCTCTCCCCCAGTCTAGCCCCTCCGAAGCAGGGCAGAGCCAGCCTGAGCGGCCCTGCCTCTGCTGCCTGGCCCACCTCCATCTGCCCGAGTGGCCTCACCCAACCCTTTGAGAGCTTGTCCTGCTCAGAACCGGGGAGCAGAGCAATGAGAAGAGGTGGCCTAGAGGCCGGGGTTTCCCACCATCTGATGGTTTATTTACGAGCTTCGTTAGTGCCTTTGTGCTGGAGAACTTCTCACACAGACGGTCTTCAAGATGCTCGGGTTTTACACCACTCTCTCTCTGAGCATTAGGGCGAGGGAGAACAGGAGAGAGGAGCGGGCAGCAGAGAAAGCTGGCGGCACAAGACGCTGCCTTACGCTGGTGTAGCCTCACCTCTCCCTCCAAGGTGGGTTGGCCACGGGCTAGGGCTGGGCCCACCAGCAGATGTGTTTTGCTTGGGCCATTGAATGTTTTAAAAATCAAGAAATAACACATGCAAATAGATGTCCCGCTTCTGTTCAAAAGAAGCTGGAATAGCTAGCAGTGTAGCAGTGGCCTGCATCCCCCCCCCCCACCCCCCCCACTCCGTCAGCTCGCTGGTGACTCGGCCCTCAGAGGGCCTGCTTCTGCTGCATGCTTGGGTCTCCACCGTTCCCAGCCCCTCTGACAGCTTCGCTCATAGTCGCTGTCTGCATGGCCCTGCAGGCACTTGGTGACAGCTCTGTGTTAGCCGATGTGCCCGGCCAGGCATCAGCTGAGTGGCTCTGGGCTGCAGAGGGCGTGAAGCTTGCACCAGGGTGGAGCCAGCTTGCTCTGCATTGGCTTCTCCCAGACACTGGCACCAGGCTCCCTGGTCACAGTTAGGAGAGAAGTGGTTGGAGGTGAGAGCAGGAATGGCGAAGACCAAACAGGCAGTCAGGGGTCTGAAGAAGTGCCAGGATTTGGGTAAGGAAGTCACTGCCCCCATAAATGGAAGAGGGTGAAAGGAACGGCACTGTCTCAGAGCCTTAGGTGCACACGCACAAGATGCATACCTGTGGCAAGCACCTGAGCTTCTTTGAGCCTCACTTAGTGCATCTTTTAAATGGGAACCAGACACAAAGTGAACTAAATAATATGTGTGACACATCTCCCAGGTGGTAGGTACCCGATAGACGAACGCTTAGTTGCCTCACAATCTTTAGGGAATGAGTGGGCTAGGAAATGGCAAGACCACACATGGCAGGCTCTGTCTGTTCTTGTGAATGGGCATTCATTCAGTCTTGCTGGCGCGGAGGGGCGTCCCCGATACCCCCGGTCCCTGTCTGCGCTCAGGTCTCTTGTGCTGTTCCTTAGCCGTGGGAGCCAGCAGACCGGACTGGAGAGAGCTGGACGACCAGCTCCTGGCGGGCGCCGTGCTGTATGTGGACTCCCGGGAGGCAGCCCTCAAGGAGTCTGGAGACGTGCTGCTGTCGGGGGTGAGCCTCTGCTCCTGGTGCTGCTTCCCGGTGGCCTCGCCGGGCCCCAGGCTCATGGGCTTCCCCCTGTCTGGCCCGCTCCAGGCCTCATTCACCCCCACCTCGTTGCGGGGTGACAGAGCCTAAACGTCTCTCACTCATTTCTAATCCCCTTTTAGAATGACGTGGCCATTTTGCTGGTGGCCTGTTTTTGCCCCTGTGCCTGGAGAAGGCTGCTGGCTACCAGGGGCCTAGGGAATGGGGCCTGTTGAGCCTAGAAACCTCCAATGTTGCCAACAAAGTAGGCGATGGTGGGCCACCTTCTGCCCTCTCTTTGGTGATCGGGGCATGTAAGCCAGAGCGGCTGCAGAGTGAGTGCTGAGGGAGGCACATGCCGTTTCCTGCTGGCCAGTGTCCCGCAGGACACCCCGCCGCGGGCATTCGCCGTGTCACACAGGCAGAGGGTCCCGAGCGGGTTCTAGGGGGAAGCACATCCTGACCGCACCCAGTTTACAGATGGTCTGCTTATCAGGTTTATCTCTTACCCACTCCCAGGCTGCCCCCTGCCACCAGCTGTACAGCCGCTGGGCAGGCGTGTGCTGCATGGCCGGCCCGTGTGCTCACTTTGCAGGCAGAGATCTTCGCTGAGCTGGGAGAGGTGGTGGCGGGAGTGAAGCCAGCCCTCTGTGAGAAGACCACGGTGTTCAAGTCTCTGGGTAACGCCACTGCTCCGAGCACATCTAACCCTTGGGGGGAGGAGGAAGGAGTGACCAGGCCCGGGGCGGACTAGTTGTGACTCCGCCATTTGGGTCGGTTATTTACGTGCCGTAGTGACGTGGTTGTGCCCATGGACTCGAGTCAGGCAGCCCTGGGGTGGGTGCCTCTGCCGCTCCTGGGGCCTCACCGATCCACGAGGGCTCCCTGCCCGCCTGACGCCTGGCGTTTGGTGCGTGTGAAGTGCGGGGTAGGGTGGCTCACACACAGCACATATCAGCAGCCTCATCTAGACACAGATGCCACGGAAGCTGCTGCAGAGGTGGGGCTGAGAGGGAAGAGGTTAAAGGATGGAGAGCTGCAGGGAGATGGCAGGGAGACCCAACCCGAGGCTGCTTTTCCTGCTGCTTGGGGCACAGCCCCTGGGGCCCAGCCGGGGCGGCTCAGCCAGCTCTCCACCCACCAGACAAGGAAATGGACACACGTGGCAGGTGCATATTAAACACCTGCGATGTGCCAGGCTCTGTACTGGGCTACAAAAGTTTCCTCAGGTACCTGCCCTTGAGGAAAATAATACCCATTCGAGGTGAAGGAGTTGGCGACACTGCAGCCTGTGGGCGGAACCTGGCCAACCGCCAATTTTTGTGCGACCTGAAAGCTAGGAATGGTTTTTACATTTTCAAATGGGGCGGGGGGGTGCGGGGGGGTTGTGTGTGTGAATGAGATTTCAGAACATGAGCATTATATGAAGTTCCGACTTTGGTGTCCGTAAAGGAAGTCTGGCTGGCACACAGCCGGGCTCACTGTGTCCCTGTGTCGGCGCTTCTGCCCACTCAGGAGGCCGAGCCCACAGCGCAGGCCTCAGCAGTTACCATCGGGCCTGCACTGCACGCTCCTGACCCCGAACGGAACGGGGGATGACACCGGAAGTCCGTTGTGGGCATTTCTTGCTGAGCAACACATTCCCTGCCGGGGCCTGCCCTCCGCAGACCCTCTGAGCCATGCTTCCTGGACATCGTCTTGATGCCCTGATGGCCGTCAGCACCACAGACAGGGCTGCTTCAGGAAAAGCTGTTCTGACAAAAAGTGACCCAATTTCTGTCCTTCCAGGAATGGCGGTGGAGGACGCGGTTGCGGCCAAATTAGTGTATGACTCCTGGTCGTCTGGTAAATAGCGCGAAGCGTGGCCGCCGAGGCGGTGCTGCGACTCCAGGGGCCTTGCCTCCACTTGTCCTGTAATTTCTAGATCAAATGAGGGAAGGAACCCCGTGCCCCGCGGGCTGTAGTGTTGTGCTCATCCTGTCTTACCTTAATTGGCGAGATCCTCCTTGCGTTGTAGCTGAGGGGAGCTGGGTGGCGGGCCCGCGGTGCGGCTGCAGCAGCACCCCTTCCCCAGGCATCCCACCGGCTCTTGTATCTCCCGGAAATAAAGCGATTTCCTTTTCTGCAGTTTTTGCTTTGGTAACTTCTGTCCCTCATGGCAAGGAAAGCGAGGCACAAGTGCTCCCACTCACTCGCTGGGGGAGTGCCAATGACGGTAATTAATTTTGTTCCGTTTCTTAAATTGAGGTACGATGTGTGCACCACAAAATTAAAGTGTACAGGTCAGTGGTTCTTAGTATGAAAACCGTGGTCACAGAGTGGTCAGCCTTCACCACCGTGTGATTCGGGGCATTTTCATCACCCGAGGAGAAGCCCCGAGCCCTCCGCCCAGCCCGGCACCTACTCCCCATCGTATAGACTCGCCCCTCCTGGGCGTTTCATATAAGGAGAACCAGGCATTGTGTAGCCTTTTGTGTTTGGCTTCTTACAATTAAAGGTTCGGGGAACAGTTTAGCTTCCACATTGGTCAGGACTCCTTTGGTGACAAGTGGTAGAGACCACAACTCCAACCGCCTTAAGCTGAATGCGTCCGTGGATGGGGAATGGCATTTATTGGCGCGTGTAGTTAAGAAGGATGCAGGCAATGGTCAGCCACCGCTGACCCGGGCTCCAGGTGCCAGCAAGACCCAGGGTTCTGCAGGGTTGGCGCCACCATCAGCAGGTTTCCCCGGGGGGAGGGCGGTGGCCGGCAGCGCCTGTCAGCCCCTCCAGCAGCCCCCACAGAGACAGGGTCTCTTCCTCAGCAGTTAAAGTCCCAGAACCAAGGCTCGCTGGCCCATCGTGGTCGCATGCCCAGTCCGGAGCCTGGCACCGTGGCTGAGAGAGGAGTGCCCTGCACAGCCTGGCCTCTGGCAGGGAAGAGGGAACCCTTTACTTCGCTTCATTTGCTCCCTGACATGTAGGCCCCATGCTAATTCTGACTGTTCTGTTCATACATTTTGAGCCAGTGCCCAGCGGGCTATAGTGTTGTGATCATCACAGACACAGAATTTACCCTTTAGTTCAGGGAGTGGTTGATAAGCCTATGGACTCTACCAGCTGGGCCACTGTAATTACAGTAAAATGCCACAGTTCAAAACATACACTTAACTTCTAATGGCCCCTCCTGGCCTCACAGGTTCAGTTATTCACTGTGAAGACATGTTTCCCCCTTTCTAACCCAGCACTGTGATGGGATTTTTATATGAGGTATTTAAATCCATGTGTCCTTCAGATCCATACCCTTCTATCTCATCCCAGAATCCACACAAAGGCTGAGGGATAATCCCGGTGAGAGCATTCAGTTCTGAGCAAACACACGCTCCCCCCTTCCCCCGCCCCATATTTGCTGAGCCAATTGCTACCCCTCCCTCCAGCAGGGCAGCACAGACAATCCCAACTAGAAAGGATCACCTCGATGAAGCGGTCAGAATGAAATCGTACAGGCTGAGTTCCAGCAGCACTTCCACCGCCTGCCTTTCCCTGTCTCAAGCACCGGGGCGTTCCACCCTCTGCCTTCATCCTGCGAGTGGCCCGTGGGTTCCCAGCTCACACCGCCTCCCATTTGCTAGACGTCATAGGCTTCATTATGTTCACCTCTGATGAGCGTGGGCAACGCGCCACTGGAAAGCACCCTTTCTGTTAACAGCAGCACTTCCGAGTGGCCTCTACTACAGCCCAGCAGCGGGTCTCGGGCAGACCCGGGGACACCTGGAGAGGGGGTCCGGCACCTGCAGTTCAGGTCCTAACAGAGGCAGGATCGGGCACAAGTGCCTCCCAGGTGACCACTGCATTTGTGCACATTATGGAAAGCAAATACAACTTCACTTTATTCCAGACCAACAAAACGCAGTATCTGCAAACATCATCATCCCTTCGTACATAGTTATCTACTCGAAGACTGACACCTCTCTGAATCCATCCGTTGTGAATCCAGCCAGCTGTCCATCACACCCCTCCCTATGCTTTCATCCTCCGTGGTGCCTCCCGAAATACCCAGACCGACGTGAGCCAGGAAGCATGCTGAAGAAATCGCTGTTTCTACTTTATACACGTAATTGATGGTAAGTGTCATCTGATGTAAGCCTGGCAATAAAAATGCAGGGAAGCTTAACTATTCAGTAAGGTTTTGGTTTGAATTTGAGCTGCCACTCAAAAAGTGTCAGAGCAATGTTGCCCACTTACATTACAGAAGCGGCATGGACTCAGACATGCACCAACGGGGATGGGCAACAGGAAATGAAAGAGGCACGTAGTGAGCAAGACAATGTAAAGGTTACTTTTATAATCAAATTTTCCTTACAAAGAACCTAGGTATTTTCCCCTTTAAGTTTCAGAGGGTAAGCACCCTTAGAAAAATCACCAAATAAGCCAGACTTTGTCCCCTGTATGTTTGTTTCCCTTCCTCCCACCCTCTTGCTCAGGCTTCATAACAAAATACCACAGACGGGGCGGCTTAGACACGGAACTTTATTTTCCTACAGCTCTGAAGGCTGGGAGTCCAAGACCAAGGTGTCTGCAGGCCTGGTTCCCCTGAGGCCTCTCGCTCTGGGTCGCAGATGGCCGTCCTCTTGCTGTGCCCTCACGGGGCCTCTTCCCTGTGCGTGTGCATCCCTGATGTCTCTCTCTTCTCCTTATAAGGGCACCAGTCATATGGGACTAGGGCCCCATCTATGACCCCATTTAACTTTTTTTAAAAAATATATTTTATTGATTTTTTACAGAGAGGAAGGGAGAGAGATAGAGAGTTAGAAACATGGATGAGAGAGAAACATCGATCAGCTGCCTCCTGCACATCTCCCACTGGGGATGTGCCCGAAACCCAGGTACATGCCCTTGACCGGAATCGAACCTGGGACCTTTCAGTCCGCAGGCCGACGCTCTATCCACTGAGCCAAACCGGTTTCGGCCCATTTAACTTTAATCACCTCTTTAATAAAGGTCCTATCTCCAAAGCCAGTCACATTGGTGGGTAGGACATCAGTATATGAATTTGGGGGAAACACAGTTCCGTCCATAGCAGGTACCCTATATTCTAGTTCTCTCTTCACTCTCCCTACCTGACACCCTGTCTGGGTACTCAGGCAGAAATATTGTAGATCCACTTTCTTTACTTGCAAACATGTAGACATCTGTTAGAGAAGTGGTTCCCAACCTTCTTTTGGTCACGTCCCACCTAAGCATCTCTAAAATCCTGATGCCCCCCGTCCCCCCCCCCTGACATAGAATTCCTATTACTCAAAAAGTGAACTCCTATTCACATAAAGGAAGCCTAAAAGGCTATTAACTTGGTCTAAACAAGCTTCCAAAGAACATGGCACCCATGAAAGAGAAAAATAAAAGATCAAAAGGACAGTTGAAGTACTGAGAAAGAAATCACTAAGAAATTGTTAAAAAATAATAATATGAAGTGATATGAAAAAATAGCAAATACAGTTTCAAAACATAATAGAGCACTGAAATGCATAAATATGTCACAATATATATTTATATACTGTATATGAGGCCCCTAGAACCATAATAACTGCAAAAAATTCACGGTTAATAACTCATTCTCTAATTGCCCCCCTTAAAAATCAAATTGCCTGCCTCCCCTGTGGGGCATGTGCCCCATGTTGGGAACCACTGTGTTAAAGGTTTAGATACATTTCAGTTGGGTTTCAAATCTTACACAAATGAAGGAACTTTGATCTCCACCAATAAACAAAGTCTAGAGCTAAGGACAGAACTGGAGTTAGAATCCCCAAGCCATGAGAATCAGAAAGTAAAAAGCAGTGTGATGAGAGTTATAATCTTAAACCTAGAGTTGGAAAAGTAAAGTCTTTTTCTCTGCCATCCATTTAACCCTTTCCATATTCATAAATATTAAAAATAAAACTGAAGAGAAACGCCATTTTTTATTCCCAGGTCTCCTTGAGTTTCTCACTGGTGGTTTATTTGTATAGGTATAGAGACTTTCTCAGAGTAGTTTGGGCCTCAAACTTTTAGGTGGGCATTTCCAAAACCCTAGACACCATCCCCAGCTGTGGCATTCAGTAGAGAGCAGGTACTGCCTGGAGTGCATCCAGTGGGCACTGCCTTGCCCGCGCTGCAGGCTCCCCCTGCTGGTCAAGCACGCCATCACAGGCTGGTGTCGACCAGTTGGCCAGGCTGCTGGAGCACTTGCTTCCTTCTGTTTATAGCATTGAGAACTTTCTTCCTGGGACCCAGCTGCATTTGTATGCTCTGAAGGTCCTCATCGGAGCAAAGCAACAGAGCTTCTAGATCAATCTGCTCTCTCATGAAAAACGGAAGGAATTGTTCCAGGTGGTGGGACTGCAGGAACACTTCCAGGGGTGTAGCATCCCCCACGTCTTCCTCCCACTCCACCACATCCTCATCCCAAGGCAAGGCCTCTTCCAAGCTGTTTCCATCTCCCTCTTCATCAGCCTCTGCTTCCTCAGGCTGTGCTGCTCCTTGTCGCTGAAACAATTCACTGGACACTTTAAACTCCAACTCTCTCTTGTCGTCTGACATGTCTTCAGGACTCAATATTCTGTTCCTTTTAAAAACAATATTCCCTAGACCTGGACGACTGAGAATGGATTCGTGTTGCGCACAGCTGTCCTCTGCTGAGAGCTTCTCTCTGGACTCCCCTGAGAATGTGTCTTCTTCCTCCTCGCTGAACACTTCCATCACATTCCTCTGCCCGTTTCGGCCCCCCTTCCCTCCCTGCTCTGCTGTATCTTTATTCTTCTTGAACTGTATCTTGAAGGTGCCTTTAATGCCCTTAGACAGTGACCCAAATGTGCTGGAAGCAGACGCATTTGAAAGGGATGACCTAGAAAGAGTGCTCTTGGAAGAAGAGAGAGTCCCGGCTTCCTCCTTTCTGTAGGTGCGGGCCATCTTGTTCTGGTGCTTCTCCTGGAGCCGCTCACAGTCTTTGATCTGCCTCCTGGCATTCTTCTGAGCCTGCTCCTTCAGCCTGGTGACCTTCTTGGGGTTCATGATGTTCTGGGCAGTGGCTGCCTTATCCAGGAGAGCAACACATTCATTCTGCTCTCTGCTGGCAGCAGCATCCAGTGGAGACTGTAAATCATTGTCCAAGGCAAAGATGTTGGCACCAAAGTTGATCAGGAATGAGACGCAGTGGGCGTGACCATTGGAGGCTGCGTAATGTAGAGGAGTGTTTCCCCAGATGTCGCATCTATCAGGGTCCCCTCTAGAAGAGAAAATATCAAAAATACAGCTCATTGTTTCCTCTGAATATAAGGTCCTAATAAAGAAAGGAAGAAAGAACAGTGCCTGTTAGTCCTGCCTTGGCACTGTTAGAAGATAACCACTGAAAGTCTAGGTATGTCCCATCCGAACATCGCACGGCCAGAAACAGAAAGAGCCCATTTCTATCCTGGGTCTCACTTATTTTAAGCAAGAAAATATTTCCAAAACACTCCCTCTAAAAGCAACTTTCCTGTCTCATTGGCTAGAATTGGTTCACATGCCTAATGAGAGGGAAAGAGAGCTGCGACATATAACTCAGATTAATTAAAATTTCTCCAGTAAATGTTTCACAACTGGCTCATCCAGGAAAACAATCAAAGCCCTGCTTTATAATGTGTGCCAATTTATGTAGTGTAAACACAGCCGCCATAGTGAATTTCAAGCTACTTATGCAACATTCCTGGACATGGAATTTGGAGGATGTGCTGTAGCAGACTATTATATGTTATTCCCACCATGTAGATAGAATAGGCATGCATAATCTTAAGAGAAGAAATAATAGTAAAACAATTAGGAAATAAATCATTTTTAGTATTTTTAAATATAATTCTTTAAATTATGAGTTTATATAATTTTCTTAATAATGTTTGTGTTTTACTCTCAAACTTCCCAGCAATTTAGCAGTCATCTTTCATGAGCTACTAAAAGCGGTTTCCAGCACACCACTCCCCCCCCACCCCCGAGTCACAGAGCAAAGTAAAGCAGCCATTATTCACAGGAACATCTCCACCGATCCCTCCACTTACTTACTTCCATGCAATTACAGTGTCACACATGTGAAGAGTTTTGCAGTGTTTTAAGGTGGAATTGGGGGCACTAGTAGATGATATTCAGGCCAGAGACCCATTCCTGGTACAGAGATGGCCATGGTAGGTGCTCAGTGAAGATCTGTGAAGCCGATGCATGCCTACTGACGTCCTGCCCCGGTTACCCCACCCCACCCTGGGCTTGAGTTACAAACAGGCACAAATGGAAAGTAAGTGATACCTATTGTTGCCCATGGCCCTGGCCCCACATCACGCTGAGAATTCTGATAATACAGGTCCTAAGAGCCCCAGCCCAGACTTCCTAGATGAGAATCTGGATCCCCAGATTGCCAGCTCACTGCCAGGCTGAGAAGAGCTGTACTAGTTAATGTGGCCTAACCAGAGTCCAACAATTTGATGATTCCTAGCTCCCCTGTGGAAACCCTGGCCTCCTCGTGCCTTTCAATTACGAGCATTTATACATTCACTGCCCCCTTCTCCCCGCCGCCAACAACCAACCCAATCTTCATCGAGCAGGAAGATGAGGATAACTATCAGATGAGTGAAACAAGACCAAGAGCAGGTGATGGACCGCCCAGGGGCACAGAGGCAGCACACCTGGGCCCCGGCACCACACAGTCATGCCTACACACCCGGCTTTCCTCCGTTCCCAGTGACAGGGCTTCAAGCTGTTCTAGGCTCAGTTTCCTCATCTGCAAATTGAGGATAATATTACCTACTCACAGAATCATTATGTGAGTAAGTTAATATGCAAATCATTAGAGAAGTGCTTGGCACATAGTGAATATTCAATAAACATCACCTATTATCATTTCCCTTGTCTCCAAACTCCAAATCCTTAACGTGTCATAGCTTTCCCTCACACCATTCAGCAGATTCCTGCAGCCCTGCAACAGCTCGTGTGGTTTTCCAACACGTACAGACTTACTCATTTGTCAGATATTTATGCCCTGCCTCCCCGAGTAGATAACATACCTCAGAGGGCAAAGCCTGTTTGCCCTCTTTGTTCCTTTCTTTTTTGTTTCTTTCTTTTTTTTTTCAATCCTCACCCAAGGATATGGTTTTATTGATTTATTTTATTGGCTTTTGAAATTTTTTTAAATTAAAAAATTTTCCATCACCATGTATTCCCTCTATGCCAGTGATTCCCAAAGTGGGCGCTACCGCCCCCCGGTGGGCGCTGCAGCGATCCAGGGGGGCAGTGATGGCCACAGGTGCATTTGGGGGCGATGAGTAACTGCTATTAAAATTTTAAAAAAATTAATTTCCAGGGGCTGGGTAATATTTTTTCTGGAAAGGGGGCGGTAGGCCAAATAAGTTTGGGAACCACTGCGTCTATGCCCTCTTCCATTTCCACCTACCCTCCTCTCATTCCACAATCACCTGCTTTTGCTCAATACTTCTACCCCCTCCCAGCACCCCCCCCCCCCCCCGCCCCCTAGGGCTGTCTGCCTGCTCTCTGTCTATGAGTCTTATCTCCATTTTGCTTGGTAGTTCAGCTTGTTCATTAAATTCCACATATGAGTGAAATCATATGGTTTTGTCTTTCTCTGACTAACTTATTTCACCTACATGTTTTTCAGGTCCATCTATGCTGTTGCAAAAGGTAAAATTTTCTTCCTTTTTACAGCAGAGTAGGGGAGAGAGAGAGAGAGAGAGAAACATCGATGTGAGAGCTGAAAGGGGATCAAACCCGCCCACTAGGTGACAGACCAGCAGAGGACACTCGGCTCAGATGGACTAGAAAGTCCCAAACGTGAAAGTGGCCCAGCCTCATTTCGTGGAACAGCCTGCGGTCACCTTATCCCGCACAACAGGAGGCAGCGGCACCGAGGGCCAGACAGCAGGCCACCGATACCAATGGCGCCTGCAGCCCACAGCCTCCATGGCCAGCACTGATCGGTCTGAAGGACAACGAACTCTATCCAATCAGACTAGAACAGTTACATCCCCCAGCCTCCACCCCTTTCGATTTTTGCACATAAAATTCAACTCCAAGGACAGCGGAGGCTGAATCCTAACCTTCCCAGGTGTGGCTCCATCCCCCTTCCCTCTAATAAATGCCCCTGTTGCTCTCTGCATCCGCCTAATTCCAACCCACGACCTTTTGGTGTATGGGATGATGCTCCAACCAGTTGAGCCACCCGGCCAGGGCAAGGCCTGTGTCTTTTTGTCCTTCGTGGCATCTACATCTCCTGGCAGGAGTGTCAAACTCAGCCTGAAGACGCGGAGCGGGTGGTGTGAGAAGGGAACAGGGCCAGCTTTGTCCTTCCAAGCTCCCTCTAGGAAGACGGCCGGTGCTCAGCCGTGGCTGAGTGCCACTTGGAAACAGCAGGCACAGTATTGCCAGAACTTCCAGTTTCAAGCCAGAAATCGAGGATTTCATGAGAAACTTTTTGATTTTTAAATGTTGGCTCAGATTTAAAAGGAAAGGACAGTGAAGTCCAAATAAAACTATCTCTAGCCCTAACCGGTTTGGCTCAGTGGATAGAGCATCGGCCTGGGGACTGAAGGGTCCCGGGTTCGATTCCAGTCAAGGGTATGTACCTTGGTTGCGGGCACATCCCCAGTGGGAGCCGTGCAGGAGGCAGCTGATTGATGTTTCTCTCTCATCAATGTTTCTAACTCTCTATCCCTCTCCCTTTCTCTCTGTAAAAAATCAATAAAAATATATAAAAAAATAAAAAAAAAACAAAACCTATCTCTGTGCTACAGCCAGCCCGTAAACTGGCAGCTGGCAACCTCCTCACGGGGTGACTGACTGCCACAGGTGGGGAGCCCAGAGTGTTCTTACACGCGAGCAGAGTGCACGGAGCTGTACAGAGGAGGGGAAGGAAGTATTCGATGACACAGTTGTGTTGGGTGGTTGCTTCCCAGGGGCTCTGGGCACGGCCCGATTTACTTGTCTTGGACCAAAGGAAGCCTCTCAACAGCAGTGCAGTTATTGCTGTAACTAAACACCACATTTAAAGGACAAAGCGATGAAGACATTACTATAAATATAACAAAACACACTGATTACTTTGTCTGCAATTAGTCTTGGGATTGGAGAAATTACAAAAGAAATTATTGAGAGGAGTGAGCAGTGGTGGCATGTTAAAGGGTATTAAGAAGCTTGGGTTAGCCCTAGCCGGTTTGGCTCAGGGGTTGGCGTTTCTGTCTGCAGATTGGTGGCTTTCGGGTTCACTTCTGATCAAGGGCATGTACCTCCTCGGTTACAGCCTCAATTCCGGCTGGGGTGTGTGTGGGAGACAACCAATTGATGTGTCTCACATCAATGTTCCTCTCTCTCTGTCTCGCCTCCCCCCTTCCTCTCTTTCTAAAAATCAATGGGAAAAAAATATCCTCTGGTGAGAATTAACAAAAACATTTTTTTTTTAAAAAGAAGCTTGGGTTAAATCTACACACTTCAAGCCACAGAGTAGTGGAATTTTCCATCTCAAGGGATCTTCAATGATCCTTTCAAGATAGAAGTAACATGAAGAAAACCTGTGGTGATAGCAAAGATGGGTCTTCTGCCCTAGCTGGTTTGGCTCAGTGGATAGAGTGTCGGCCTGCAGACTAAAGGGTCCCAGGTTCGATTCTCGCCAAGGGCACATGCCCGGGTTGTGGGCTTGATCACCCCCCTACTACAGGGCATGCAGGAGGCAGCCAATCCATGATTCTCTCTCATAATTAATGTTTCTATCTTTCTATCTCTCTCCCTTCCTTTTTGGAATCAATAATAATTAAAAAGGGGCCTTCTGTTAAGAATATTTTGAATGCAAAATTCCAGGTTTACAGATGAAGCCGTCAGTAGTGACTCACGCCCCAGTGCATCTCAGTATGTCCACTTGAAGAAATCCTACTGACAAACCACCTTCCAAATGGATGTGCAACTGACATCAAAACATTTTCCAGTGACAGGTTCCTGGGGTCTTCAAACTCAGTCTTTGTGGTCCAACCCCGGTGTCTATATAAATATAAATTCTCCATGAAATCATTATATACACATCCAGCCAGGTGTTCACAAACGGGCCCCACCTCATGAGTCCAAAATTGATATTACATGGTTTCTTGTGGACACATTTAGTCATGTTGATTTTTTTCCTATCTCCCCTTTTTTTCCTAAAAGAGAAACTCACTGAAAAGATTTTTAAATAACCATATTTTGCCCTTGGGTTTTGGTAGATCA